AACAATAATTATTACTCTTAAGGGAATTAAACTAAAAAGACTAGAAATTTTTAATAAACACAGAAGTGAAATTCCACTGTCAATTTATGATGGTGTAGAAGCCATCATGTATATGTTTATCCACAATATTGTCCCATTTGTATATACATTTATATTATTTTCTATTTTATAACTGATAGAAATATAAGGCAGATGTTCTTTTCTTGTTGCAGCCATTCTGTGCTGTTACTCCTGAAAGGGTTCCCCCTGATGTCAGAAAAGTTAGCCTTCCTATAAATAAAATAGTAGTGAATTGCATGACAGCTGAGTAAATAAGCTCAAGAACAGACTGAAATGATTGACCATCATATATATTGTTTTTATCTTCTAATTGGAAACTTTTACAAGTCAGGGTACACAATTATTGCCCAGTGTCCCAATGTACCAACTTCTATTTCACTGTTCTCCAAAACATTAAAGTGAAATTGTCAAAAAGCTGAGTTACCCGAACAATACAATTTTGATATTTAAGACCTTTGTCTTTTAGATAGCAATTTCATCTTCCATTCTGAGCACAGAGTTTCCATGACATTAACTAATGTCATAAATTCCTCAGTTTACAAGAAAGGACTACAAAGGCCAAAAGAAGGTACGGCAATGTATCTCCATTTTGGTCAGGCATATTTCTTTACCAGTTAGAAGATGTAGGAGATCTTGTATATTTTCCCCTTCTTTACATCTATACTACTAATTTACCTTTTTAAAAAATGGAATTTCTGTCTAAATTGCAGAGTAAGCTTAAGAGCATGCCACAATTAATTCCTGATCATCATAAATTTCAAATGTGAATTTCTTCTCTGAACATCAGCCATGAACAAGAAAAATGTATCTATCAAGTGGGGAAAACCAAACTTTACATTGGGATGGATGGATGGATGGAGGGATGACATACAATACCAATGATCACCTAGCAAATTCTGGAATAAAACATCCTGGAAAAGAATCTGGTTGGCTTATTCTTTCTTGCAGTTTTATTGCTTGTCTCATTTGTTACCTGAATACATGACAAAAAAGACAAAAAGGAGGGGTTCTGCTTAGCAAAATTATTGACAGCAGTTATCTCTAGGATTTGTTAAGGAAGTGAACAATAAATATATGCAGGGTTGCAGTTTCAATATGTGTAATGTGTAAAGCAGTGTGCAGGTTTCTCGTGTTTTTATTTTGAACTTAAATCTTTTAAATTGTCCTTTGCATTTTCTTAGGTACACACATTTCAAAATCTAAAATAATCTGAATATGCTTTGCCGAATTTATTAAGAAAAAGGGATAAAATTATGCCAGTCTGAGATTATAAAGGATAAGTTACTTAAGGAAATAACAATCTAGCAGAGAATAATGAACAGTGCAAGCAAAAACAAAAAACCCAAATATGTTCACAACTGAGAACTAAAGATTGTAAATATTAAAAATGAATCACTTAGCTGAAACATTCAGATGATATCTTAAAAGAATATTAATAAAAATTTAAATTGTAAATTGTTGGGCAAAATCTCTATGGCAAACAATTCATAATGAAGGTATCTGTTGATATAAGGTGACTCACAACATAATAAATTAAAAAATGAACAGCCACAAGTCATGAATTTATGATTTATCTTCTATTCTCTCATAAAGACAAGCTTTGATTTCAGAGTCTGTGAGCTGAGTTTCCTTAGGTTTCTAACCAGGTACAGCTTTTCTGGTCAAAATGTGGAAATTAATTAGCATCTTATGAAAAGGTAAAAAATTAGTATCATATATCCATGTTTGTTCCATACAAGATCTGTTGTATTTTGCACTATCTTAAATTTTTGGATTGTCTTCAAAAGAGCCCCACAGCTTGTGATGATGGGGTCTGTAATTCATTTAATTAGAAAGGCCAAATAAAAGACTACAGTGAAGTAATCTATATGGGTGGTTCCCAAAGACTGTTTCCTAGACATCATAAAGTCCTAAGAAGCAAAGTTGTACTGAAGAAGCAAGAAGGGAGCTTGAAACATATTTGAAATATAATGAATTACAGCACTTTCTAAGTGGTCTGCACAAACCCATCTTGACCAAAAATATCTAGATAAAATATATTTATGTTTAATTCATAAGCAGTCCATTCTGGGAAATTTAGTTCTATACAACAACTCATTAAAGTATTACTTAAAATAAATCTGATTCCTAATTTTACAAAACTTTTTAGGAATTTGTAATCACATGGTTGGATCATAAGATGAGAAATCAAAAATCTTGTTTTTATTTTTAGAGGCAAAAGGTAGTAAAGATAAAATTTTCTGCAGTTAAAATTTCTGGTGCTTCCAAATCAAATATTCCAGTCACTGAGCTGTGATTTTCCCCAAAAGTTTGTATTTTTACTGTCACAGCATTTCAGTTTTTATTCTGGCTCCAGTGAATGAACAATCGCTTCTGTATACTTCATAGGAATAAAATAATTGCATATGACTGATTATTTTCTAACATGGTGCATGAAAGCTGTAGTTTGAAAACAGTCAATGAATAGTAAACTACACATCTTGTAATTTAAAAGTTTTACTCTAAAAGCATCAATATCAGCACATTTTTATTAAGTTGCACTGTTCTCAATGGAGTTTATTTCTTTGTAAATATAATCAGCTTTGCTGATATTTGTTGTTATATTACAAATATCTTATGAAAAGCAAATATTCTTAAAACTACATTCAACAAAATTATTTCCTGCATTAAAAAGAAAATTTGGTAAAACATAATTGATCCCTAACTACTGTTCAAAAATCAGTAAGGCTGGGCTTCAATGTTTATCAGATCAACTACCTTCTAATTGAACTGCAGTTTATGAAGTTACTTTTAAATACAAGTGTTTAAAAATAATTGGATCCAGAATTCAACAACAGATCTGTTCTATGGAGTAACATTGAATCCAACAATTCACATCAATCACCATCTTAATAAAATCTTCCTTCTTTGCATTGATTGACATGTGTGGAACTATCCCCCTTGAGTTCTTTTATAAAAAAAGTATGCAGATTATTAATCAGAAAATGGTTTTCACTCCTTCAGGATGAATTTATTCACAAATACAGACTGGTTAATCAGCTGCATTGGTTAATCAGCTTCAAAATCTTATGGGTCCAGTCCTTTAATATGAGATACCCCTAATTTTTAAATTAGGAATAAGATTGTGAATCCTTCACTCCAGAAATTGATTTAGAAGCACTGTTTCATAATGCTACTTAAAGTTGTGTTGTAACTGTTTAAGGTTCCTGATCATTAACTTGGATGAACTCTTCTTTGAAGAGTAAATGTTTTATTTTAAATGGAATAAATATGTAAGCTAAAGTTCAAGACTGTCCTTTAATTGTACCTGTTTAAAAGAGGTTTCAGAGACATGGTTTTATTCCTTCTCCGTTCAAATGTTAATTAAAACTAACATTCTTTCAATATCTTATGTTGCAAGACTGAAGTTACTTAAGAGAATTCTACTAGAAAACTGGGGCGCATATCTAAATAAAGCTTGAATTGGGCTTCTTTCAGATAAAACATGCTAGGTGCTTGGGAGTAGCCCGAGCAAAATTTAAGATCTTTAAAGACCTTAATGCTTTTAAATGCAGGCTTTAAAAAACCGCGCTTCCCCGGCGCTAACTCTAATCTCCCACGTTTGTGCTGCTGTCTTGAAAAAGGACTCGCCATACAGTTGTCGCTTCTTCCGCCTTGTAGCTCGCTCGCTTGCTGGAACTTTCAGACCCGCGACGCTTAGCTTGAGAAGACGCAGTCCCGCACAAAAGGCAGCGGTACCCAGAGGGTTAATGTTTCCTGTTTGCTTTTTTGAGCTCTCCTCTTCCCCTCCTCCTCTTTCCCTCTAACCACCCCCTCAGAGCTCAGGCGGAAGTGAGTTCGCTCCTTTGGAGATTAAAAGGATTCCGAACTCGATCGGTTTCAATAACAGGCGTTTCGAAAGAGGTCGACCAGGAATGCGAGCATCTCGGCGCCCTGCAAAAATCAGACTCACCTAAATCGGGTCGGGGGGAGGGGAAAAGGTTTTTCTTTTTTTAGAGGTGGGAAATCTAAAGCAGCGAAACCACCCATTCACCGGCACGATGGCTACAACGGAATCGAATGGGATCTCCACGCTCTTGCATTACTGTTATTAATTTAACCCCACGGCCGGCGGGCGCTCCCAAACCCTTCCCCCCACAGATTTTCTTGATAACCACGTCGAGGATTTTTTCATATTCGGAGGGTAAAATAAAGATTTCGTTTTCAATTATTTCTGGAAGACCACGCGAAGAGTTGAAATGACAAAGGAAATGTGATCGCAGCGGTTAGGGAGCCAGGAGTAAAAGGAGGCTGCTGCCGGATTGCAGCCTGGGGAAAGCGTTACACTGCTGTTGCAATTTGTGCAAGCGAACCTAATACGCCCCCCGTGAATAATTCAGGAAGGCCGGCCGGAACCTGCCACCGCCATCCTTCTCTCTGGTGGCTCCTTTTGCCGGTTTAAACGCATGTGCGCCCAAGCTACAGGAAAGAGTGAGACCGCGTGCGTGTCGCTGCCGCCCTTGTTTTAGTGGTGGTGGCAGCAAAAAGGGAGCAAATTCGGGAAATCCCGAGAAAGAATAAGGGACCTGATCGATGCGCTCACTCGGCTTCCCGGGGGATCCGCTTGGAGACCTGGAAAAGGCGTGGACCCGCGAGGAAGACGATCTCTGGAGAGTAAGATCGCGTGCTCGTTCATTCATTCACACGCATCACCCACCCACACTCTGTCTTTTTCTTTCGGACGCCCGCCTGCCCAGAAAGCTAAGCCGGAGGGATCGCCATCTCTGCTTCTCGCTTTCAAGACATGCAGTGGTGGAGCCCACAGGGGCGGATCGGTGCCGGAGAAGTCTACCGGGACAATTTCCGTGTCTCCAGAAACCTCCCGGAGTCCCTAAGAAAGGAGAAGTGAAGCAAGTGGTCCCGCTGTTCCCTCTCGCCTCTCTCCTTCTCCACCGACCGAGCCCTTTCCTCATTCCCTCGCCATCAATCCGCCTCTCCTGATACACCAACTAAAGAGAAGATTTAACCACCCCCCTTCAGTTTTTTCCCTAGAAGGAAGCGAAGAACAGCCGCGCGACCGGATCCAGTTCACGCTGGATTTTTAAGGAGTAGGGCCCGATGCACTTTTCTGTTAAAGAAACCCTCATTCTTCCGCCTCGTAGTCCGAGAAACGCTGAGGCGGCAGAGAAGGAAGAAGGCGCTGTCCCGGGTGGGAAGAAGCTTTAAACGCAGCGCGAAGGAGGGGGCAAATCAGAGGAGAGTCTTCCTCCTGACGCTACTTAAGAAAGGAGAAGACGAGAGGAACGGCGGCTGAAGCTGCTCCCGTCTCGCCTAGCTCGCAAAGAGTGGTTTGGAGTAGCAGGAGTCTCGCAGCGCCCCCACACAGCGACTAATTGATGCCACCCACCAGGGCTTGTAACGCGGGTCGTCGTCGCTCGCTTCGGTTCATGCTGCTACTGCTGCCGCCTCCTTACTAGCCGCGCTCTCTTGCGCTGCCTCCTCCCCCTCTCCCCCTCCCCCTCCCAATGGCTTCGTTCCCCGAGTCGGATTTCCAGATTTGTCCGCTGTGTAAGGAGATGTGCGGCTCGCCGGCTCCTGTCTCCTCTAATTCGTCCACTTCGTCGTCCTCTTCTCAGACTTCAAACTCTTCCGGCGGCGGCGGAGGGGGGTCCTCATCCTGCACCCCGTCGAGGCGGCTCCACGTCTTGCCTTGCCTGCACGCTTTCTGCCGCCAGTGCCTGGAAGCGCAGCGCCACCCAACCGCGAGTAACACTCTCAAGTTGCGCTGCCCCATCTGCGACCAGAAGGTGGTGATCTCGGAGCCGTCGGGCATGGACGCGCTGCCTTCCTCCAACTTTCTCCTCAGCAACCTGCTTGACGTGGTCGTCGTGGCCGCCGCCGCCGCCGAAGACCAGAAGAACAACGGTCGTCCGGGCGGAGGCGGCGGCCAAGGAGGCGGCGGCGGAGCGGCGAGCAACAGCAATGCTAACAGCCGGCACCCTCATTCCCGCCAGCAGCCTGTTCAGCAGCAACAGCAGCACCGCGCCGCTGCGGGCGGCTCCTCCCCGGGTTCTGCCGCCGGCTCGGCGCCGTCCGGGGGAGGCGGTGGCTCCGCGTTGCTGCTTAGGCGGCCCCACAGCCGACAAGGCGAGCCCCGCTGCAGCTCGTGCGATGAAGGCAACGCCGCCAGCTCCCGCTGCCTCGACTGCCAGGAGCACCTGTGCGACAACTGCGTGCGCGCCCACCAGCGCGTTCGCCTCACGAAGGACCACTTTATCGAGCGCTTTGGCCCAGGGCCGCCCGCGACGGCGGGAACCGGCCCCGCCTCGGCAGCCTCCCAGCTCGCTCTCAGCCCGCCCTATTCCGCCGCGCCTTACAACATCCTCTCTGTCTTCCCGGACCGAGTCACCTACTGCCAGCACCACGACGACGAGGTGAGTGCCCCGATCATACTACTCTCGTCGTAGCATGACCGGTCAAGTTAAATGGCTAGTCCTCAAAGAGTTCGTCAGTTTGCGCACCAGAAACGTTGGGAGTTTAAAAAGTGGCCTTTTCCTTCTTCCTCTACGTTTTGGGGAGGGGCAGTGTCAGAGGCGCTCTGCCTTTCCCAGACCAGAAAGCAGAAAGGATGCCAACAGGTGGGGCGAGCAGGGGGGATCCTATGAATTATATCTTCAAATCCACCCTAAATGGCCAAGAAGTGGTTGGGTTTTGATGGGTTTGCTTTAGTTTTTGGTCGCGGCGGTAGCTAGTGAAAAAATATTTAAAACTGTTCTTCTCAAATAGACAAAAACATTCTGTAGTAAGGTGTGACTCTTAAAACTTTGAGATTGAGTCCTATGATGATCTGGATTAAAGGACAGCTAAATAAAAAGGGGCATTGGCACGCTAGGATTTCAAGATAAACTTTCATTCATATATATATATATGTTTTTTTTTACTGTATCAATCTCAAAATAATTGGATTATAGTGTTCGATAACATTGGAAGTTGTTCAAAGGTGCTAACTCCTCAGAACTTCTTGTTTGTGAGGGTGGGATTTGGTGAGGATTACAATGTACTGTGTAGAATTTGGATAATTAATAACTGAGCAAGAGGCTTCTGCAGTTCTTTCATCTTGTAATTTTGTGGCTATGCAGTATAAATTTCTTACCTTAGAACTGCATTGTACTTCCTCTGACAGGCTACACATGATTTTTTTCTCTCCATAAGATTGTCAACCAATCTCTCCTTCTCCACATTAACAGGAAATGCCCTTCAGGTTTCAGAATATCTGGTGGCTTTAATTTCCTTTTTTTTTTAAAGAAAAATATAGTTCCCCCTTTCATACTTTTCCTTTGCATAGCCATAGGTGATCACTCTTTGCATCTTCCAGTCCTATTTCTCTTTCTTCCATGCCTTTGTTCACATGGAGCTGTCCAAGCTTAACTGGTGTAAATCATAATTCTCTACAAGCAGCAGAGCTTTTCTATGTGCTGCAGGGGGCAGAAATAGATGAAGCCATTTAAAAACAGCACCAACTATGTGTGTGTGTGGGGGGGGTGTTAAGGCTGCAAACCAGAGAAACATGTTTCCTCTTGTAATGCTTTGGAGAATAGGTGCATTCATTGTTTCTTCAGGGATATCAAGGTAGAAAATTTAAATGTGAGAAGTGGCAGTCCTAATTTCTGAGACATCATTCTGTTTTTTGCTCCACATTCCTCTGCCAATTTGCACCCATTCCCAGGACTACAGATGTCCTTGAGATGGACAAAGTGCTCAGTAAGGATTTCCTGGTCTCTCTCCCCTGTAGTTTACATTTTTAAATAAACAGACCGCTATATTTGCCACTCTGTTTGATTTAGCTGCTGATTACAGATCAGTTACAGACTGCTACAAATGAAGAAGTAAGGCATTGACAAACTTTTAACATATAGAATTTGGGTTAAACATAAGTATCCTTCCAAAGATGGATTATGAAGGAAGGATCTAGAAGTGTGATTGTAGGCCAGCTTGGAAGTTGATGCTGGTGTTTCTGAGCATGGGTGAAGTATTGGATGAATTACTTCTCATTCAGAGGGTTAGGGCAGACTATGTGAGTTTCTGTTACTGCTTGTGCATACAAAACATTCTTTAATTTGTTGCATAGGATTTAGTGCTATGTTGAAGGTTTCTAAATAGATGAGAACATCTTGCAAACAAGATAATTTGTTTATAATTATTTCTTAAAAATTGGACAAGAACCAAGTATAAATATCTGAAGAACTATTCTAAGATTTTTTATTTTCAAGAGATAGGATCAATAAAGTATAGCAGGAGCAAAATGAAAAATTTAGCAAGAAAATGAATTGAGAATTGGTGTACTGATTATAATTCTCTCTATAATTATGCTTTGAGATTGCATGTGTTTGGTGAAGTTGAATGACCTGATAATATACTGAATGATCTCATATAATAATATATTAATAAAAGGTTTAACATCAGAGTGTCAAGTAGGCCCAATCAGTTATTTTCTGAGAGTACTGCTCTTTTAAAAAAATCAGTTGTTTATATATTTTAAAGAATTATTTTAACTCAGAGTCACTGCTTTAATCCCAAGGAATAAAGTCCCAGTACTGAATTCATGTACTGGAAGTTCAACTTGTATGCCGACATTCCATTTCTTTTGCTGGTTGCATAGACCACAGTGGAATTTTCCACTAGCCCCATTGTTAGAGGATAGCTTACTCCATGCTACGGTTCCTGATTGATCCTTACTACTGAAAGATAACCAGGTTTGGGAAATAAATGATTGGTTGTTGCTATTTAGATACTCTGTAGCTTGGGGAAAAGTACACTATGATCTATTTTGAAAATAAATGGCTGTTTACTTCTAGTCAACTTTTGCCACTTTGTGTAGTTATTTCAAAAATGGAAAAGAATGTCTATTTTTGTCTTTTTTTTTTTAAAGAAAATGAATTTTTATTAGAGTTTTGTAAGAATTTGAGGAAATATAAACATTGGCATTTGGCTATCTGCCCCTGAGCTTTCTAGCATTTCCCACAAATAAATAGGAATATTTATCAATCTGAAGGAAAGTTGGAACTCCAAATACAAAGTTTAGAATGATAAAAGTAATTTGTGTATTATTTACAGGGACAGTATAAGTAAGTGCATGAATATTTCTGCTGTCCTGAAGGTTACATCAAAAAACATCTTCCAACCCTCGCTTTCTCATTCTGTTTTCACTATACTCAGTAGATTCATTTTATAGGAATTCTTCAGGGGAAATACTTTGTTCTTATGAAATAAAGATATTTTGGATAAAAAGTATTGCAATGCTTGCATTTCAAATAATGTGCATACTGAAAACATCAATGTGTACTCAGCAATGCTTGTTAATTTCTTTCCATATTTAAAAATATTACTTCAGAACTTCACATAATGTGTCTTTTTAAAAATCATATTATGATAGTAGAAAGCATTTTGTGCATTTTGTTTATGATAGATCTTTTGGAATAAATAGTCCATCAGTAACTTCTTAGTACAACTTCACTTAATACAATACTATTTCCTTTTTATGCTTATTTAGGAATAACTAAATAGAAATAAATAGGAAATAGAATTGAGATCATTTCTAATGAAAAAAAAATTGTGTGTTAAAGTCTTGACTTGTGTTTGTTGTGAAAAAAAAATGAATCTGTGTAAAGGGAATAAATAATAAAGTTTTTCATTTAATTGTAAGATTTTTATGGAAGAAAGGGATTAGGGGTGTCCTAAAAGATACTTTGCATTATTTCTGCTTGCACAGGGCTAGCATACTACAACTCCTGGATTCCCTAAAAAGCTGCTATTGAGGATTAAGAAACCTTCTGAAATGATGTACTATTCTAAGCCAAGGGCTGCCATAACAAGCATAAATTGACACTATTGAAGAAGACAGCCCATCTGATTTTCAGCCAGTGTGGAATTTCAACAACAGTCTTATTTCTGACTTAATCTCTAACCCAGAGATTTCATGAAAGTGGACCTGGGCATGACTTGTATTGGCAATCCTCTCAAGAGTACTACATGATCTCAGCTACTTCTTTCCATCACTGATTAATAGCAGTTTTTCAGAATGCCATTATGTCATGGACAGACTTGCAGTGTATTTTAAGAGTCATTCTGATAGCCATTATTTTTAAAGAATCATTTAAAATGCAAGTTAAAACTGAAATATTGACTGTTTACTAAACAGCAGTAGGAAAAAAACACATCACATAAATCTATCTAAACAATGTCCTGTAGAGGAAGGACTGCAGTTTTATTTGTGTTTGTTTGTTTGTTTTTGTTTTTTAACAATTTTGGACCAGTGCTTTCCAACTGAATGCCTGAATGGGTTGGGATTGTAGCTCCCAGAATTCTGAGAGAGCGTTTAGAGAGTCCCAGTTGAAAAAGGCTGCTCTTAAGTATGTAGTTTATATTTTGGAGATTTTCTAAAACATTGTACATCTATAGTGTTCTAGAACACTACAATCATTTGTTTACTTAGAAGTAAATCCTATGCTCAGTGAATAAGTCTATTCAGATCTTTAATTTTAATTTTGGGATTTTTTAAACCTGTTCATCTAAATATCACAAATTGAAAACTGTTTTATAGGAATTAGAAGCAGTTTCTATGCCTTTTATAATTTTGGTGGTCACTGTTACCTTTCTTAAAGAGTAAATATTGGTATTCATATTTTCCTATTTGTTGATCTCCCTTAATTTTTGTTTTCTGCAACTCTACTATTCTGGGAAGCTTAGTCTAGTCTCTAGTGGACTTTCTCTTTGGTATGTGTCAGTGTACTTGCTGCTTTGTTTTTGTGTTTCCTAGATGGTTATAGTAAAGAATTATCCTTGAACAGGAGATATACTTTTCAAACAAGATGCAAACATGTTTATCTAAAATTAGTTGGCTGGGTTAAGAAGTTAAAACAGGAGCATAAAAAATGAAGACCAAGGAAATGGAGTATCACTTGCTTATGAATGTTCTTATAGGATACTTTAGCTTTTTCTGAGATGGATGTGTTCTGATTACTTTATTTTCAGAAATTGTTTTGCCTGGCCTGACTGAGTTTCAGGCTATATGAATTAGTGTTTCCAGCTAACATCAGAGATTTTAAGATTCTGATAAGATTCCTGTTTTAAGTAGAATGGGAGAAGATTTCTTCTTCCCTAGTTTTTTTGTTGGATGTTTATTGTACTTTGTGTGCATTGCATGAAGTAGTTATTAATTTTGTAGTTTAGAACACATAATTAATATTCAATGGGGAGTGGGGAGAGAGAGTGTATGTCAGCATGCATACTTTATTATGTAAAAAACAATTTTTTTAAGCATGATATTTTCAGTGTTACAAATATTTTCAGTGCCCTATAATATTAAGTTTTGGTTATGTAACTATATTACTGGTATATATTTTTAGGGCATCTACAAAGTGCTTCTTTGATTCAC